ACTTAATAAATAACTTTTCTTATCCATATCACATATGAAGCCTTTGCTACATTTGATTTGACCTATGTAGTTTGTTTAGTTTTGTAGCTCTTCTTAAAAGTATATCCCTTGAACAATGGTTGGAAGATAGGTAATTTACATCCATTATCAAAATGTATCTCATATATATTGATAGCTCCTTTCATAAACACTTCACAAGGTTTTCTTTTGGAGTTTGTCGTAAAACGATTTCACAACTCTTGGATGTTCATCAAGGTCTTGACTTAAATTCTCATTATTACGATCATATCGCAATATTTTGAATGTGTTGCCAAGTATATATCTTGACTTAAATTTTCACAATTACAATAATATTGTAATGTAATCATTATCTTGTCAAGTTGATACTGAACTTCATACTGAACATTTTGAACTTTTCAAAATTTTCACTTCCATGCTCCAACTAAGCATAAATAGTGATCATATCACAAATGAAGTTTTATTGTGCGTCTCTAGTCTTTGAACCTTTGGTTTTCTTACATCAATATGTATTCGACCTTGAGTTCACATCATCATTTCTCTAAATGGTGATTTTGTCAACATTTCAAATTAGAACGATAATTACATATATCAATGGATTCATAATCTAATGATATTGAAAGTCCATCCCTTTGGATCTTTCGCATTCAATGTTCATTTTTTTCGAATTATTTGACATTTTAGAGACAATTCATTTATAGAAATGGTTCAATTATTTCTATCATATAGAACTTTGAACCTATTTAGCAACTCAAAACACATTATGACTCAATGAAGCATAGAATGACATTTATTCCACGTTTTTGAATCTTCGATGCTTAGTCAGTACTTACATTGAATGGTGTTTTGATGATGGCAAGAATGAATAACATTTATTTAATTCTAGCCAATAACAAGGTAAGGTGAAATATAGGTTGCAACTTTTGCTTCCAGACTCGTAGACTCTACTTGTGAAGTAGCAACATTTGCTTCTAAACTTGTAGATTTATTTCTCCTTTAGCCATACTTCTTCATTTAGTTCAACCTCATTCTCAATGAGAGAGCTAAACAAGACATCATATGTCCAAGAAGTAGCAATGTGCTAAATCAATTTCTATAATATACTTCTTAAATTTTGGAACATTTCCATTCTTTCACCTTCCAACTATATGAGGTAGTTTCTAATCAATTGGAATTGGTCCATTTAATTTGAAACATTTGTTGTTCATAACAACTTTTAGCATGTGAGTAGTTCTAGGTTTGAGAAGTAGCAACTTGTTTGCATTTCTTGGCCTATAACTTCTTAATGCAATCCTCATATATTCCTAAACCTTTCCCATTTGAGCCACTTAGAACACTTCTCTTAGGTTCAAAATGATGCTTTTCTTAACTACTTTAAGCACTTTTCATGATTTTGCTAATTCTATTCAATCATTATTTATAATAGAGTTTAATCAACTATTTAAATCTTATATAAAGTGGATGAAGAATAGCGTCATTTGATCAACTTTTGATCATAGAGATTTCCAATCACTTTCTTATATTCAATCATATTGAAGATAAGAGATGTTATTGGACTTTTATACTTGTCTTTTAGAGGGTTTGTACCTCCCATATCATTATATCCCTTGAAACGCTTTTCAAAATGAAGATGTGTTGGCATTTTACTCAAACATTTTGAATAAAACCAACCTTAGACACGTGACATGGATTTCTAAAACTTGCCTTTTAGAACCATCTTAGCAAAGTTGGAATATAGGTTTATGGATTATCTTTTAACCTTTTGAGAACGTTTCTCAACTTTATTTTCAATCGAGGAGATTATATATAATAATAAAATTAGAACGACATGTTACTTAAAAGTAAACACAAAATTCAATTATGTTTAATAAAAATTTAAAGTACCATAAGCGATTATAAAACTGGTAACTTTAAAACACATTCAATTTAATTGATCCGTATTGAATAGAATGATTCCAAGATCCTTTATTTGTGCAATAATTGACAGGACTTTGGCCCTACCATCAACTATTACATTTTCAAGGTGAGTAAACTCTTTACTGATTACAACTCTTTGTAATTCTTGGTTGAATAATTATCCATCACGTGTTTAATTATTACCCTTAGCTTCAAGGTTCTAAACTCTTTAGGTAACCTTGTTGAGTATAACCAATCAAAAGTGTAAAATTTGTTTTACCCCCACTCCCCTAAGATATAATATGACACCCTGCTTTGGCATGACCCATCATAAATATCGAAGGTTTCATCGGGTTTTTTATTGGAAAAGCTACCTCAATATTTCTGGGACCTAGATTCATTATGTTGTGATTATTTAGTGAACTCTAGCGCATCATCAAACAACATAAATAAAATCTAACATGCATAATCTACTAATGCATAAATAAAACATGACATAGTATGGCCCCTTAATCCTAAGAAAACTAATAAAGCAAAAGCTCCCACTTGAACCTTCATGGATCTCATCCATCTTGCTCCTTTGGGCCTCCACTCCATGGATTCTTGGATTAACTGCAACCTGTAATACTATTCTATTCTATCTACTACTTAAATAAAATAAAATAAATTACAAAAATACTTAACGGTACGCAGACCGTATTTAGATTACAAAATACGAAACGATGCGCGGATCGTATTTAGAATCTATGGGTCATACTAGTCTATATAGCAATATATAACATCATATATTATAAAATGCCATATAATAAATCACTCATCATGCTTTCCTAAACTACAACATCGAATGTTCACAGTAAAGGAAGCATGGCTCCTAAATATCTCATATTTAATTAATTACTGTAATTAGATAATATCATGTATTATTCATAACCAATTATAAAATATCATATATTTAAATTAGTCATGAGATAGAATCAAATCTTATTTTAATCTTAAAAGATAAATCATATTTATCCTCAAAGATTATCCTAACAAAGTTAGGAAATTCTATCCTAATTACTAGCCAATCACAAAATTTTAAATCAATTATATCCAATATTAATTATGGAATAATCACATTATTTAAATCAATTATTATCCTTTTGGAATATGCTCAGAATATCCTAACAAATCTTATCCAAAATTAACCACTTTAATTATGGATAATTACCAATTTAACAACTTTAAATATGGATAATATCAAATATAACAACTTTTGAATATTTGATTTTATCCTAAAATAAAAGATTTTATCCAAATAAAACCAATTTTATCTTTTAAAAATAAAAGATCATATTTTCAAAATATTTTATCTCATCCAAAATAAATCATATTTATCTTGAAATATTTTTAAAATAAAATAATAATAATAATTTAAATTTTTTTTTTTTGAAAATCGTGTACCACCACACCGGCCACCGTGGTTGGCCAGCTGAAGCTAGCCACGGTGGCTGGCTGCCAACAGCAGCCACTGCCGTAAGGGCAGCAGCGTGGCAGCAGCACTGGTAGCCGTGGCAGTAGCCGTGCAACTCTTGCACGCTGCTGCCCACCGCCACCTTGGACCGCCGGCCTCAAAACCTTTTTTTTTTGTGTTTTTAATTTAATTAAAATAACATTTATTAAAATTAAATTAAATCAGTCCAAAAATTTAAAATTAAATCAACATTCAATCTTAAAATTAGGGTTTATCATTAAATTAATCCCAATTTAATTCTAACCTTTAAAATTAAATTGATGATCATACACAAAACACTTTTATGCATAAATCAATCCGATTAAAATTATGAATCATAAAATAAATTGAATTAAATCAAAATCAAGCACAAAAATCATATTTTAGGGCTAGGATTTTCGAAAAATTCGAAATTTAGGGTTAGGGGGTTCGAAATTTTCGAACATGTTAGGGCTAAAAACGGTCATCTTCATGGCTATTTAAACATAATTAAATCACATTTAGTCGATTCCAAAAGTTTAATCACATTAAAAATAATAATTGAACTATAATTAAATTAATCTCCCTCTTAATTGAATTAAAATTGTGGACTATCAAAGAATTATAGTCAATATGCGTAAATGCAATAGGCAAACTGATACCACTGTAGGGGTTTATAGGTACTACACAACGGATATAAACATGAATCATATTCATACAGTACCTAATCCCAAGATCTAATGCATAACACATAAAGAACATATAATCGTACCTTTGAAGCGTGATTCCACGTGCGATCGAGAAAGAACAATGGGAGATAAAGAACCCCAAGCGTGATTCCTCTACTTGGTCCACGGGCACAGATTAAGACCTCCACTAATGCTAGTTAGTTGCAATTGAACCCTTCAATTGACCTTCTATGGAGAAGATAGAGCAACGAACCAACCATGAACCACCACGAACCACCACACGCGCCACCAAGGTGGCCGGCCGTACGGACGAGGGGAGGAGAGAGAAAGTCGTGAGATAGAGAGAGGAATTAGGGTTTTGGGATTGGTTGCCTTGATGTCAAAATACACTGTGTGTGAATTATGACTGCTTGCTTGCAACCCTAGGCATGGATCTTATTTATAGATCTCATCTCTAAATAAGAGCCCATGTCAAAAGCCCAAAACTTAATTCCAATCTAACTATGCTAGCCCAATCCATTTCATGATTAGTTAATTGCTCATGAGGCCCATTAATGGGCCTCTAACTTGCTTAACCCAATACCCTTGTGTGTGACCTCATAAGATCCATTCTAGCGGGCTTTGGACTATTTGACTAGTCCAAAGGTCATCTCTCATAGTCTAGCAACAGATGATGACGCCTCAAGAGAACGAACTTATTATCTCCATAATAGTGATCCTTGATATATCTAGTAATTGCACTTTATCGAAGACACAATTCCTTCAAAAAGAACCCCATCCAGCGTGAGCACTCGATCGCAATAAGGATCAAAGAAATCAGGACGGGGCCTGCGCTGGAAAGGGCGAAATGCACTACCCTCAGCGGGACGACTATTGCCCGACCCAGACGCAGCAGCACACACACAGGCACACACCAAACGCTCCCATAAAAGTCGAGTACGGAGCACGTAACAACATTAAGGCGGGAAACTCAAACTCTTTCACCAAAAAAGAAAAGGGAACGAATGGAAGTGGAGGAGCCATGGGAAGCCCTTGACACTGACGACATCGACCTCTCAACCTCCTCCTCCACCTCTCTCCTCCGTCGCTGCACCACTCAACCTTCCCTCTCTCTCCTCCCACCGGAACCACCGCAACAACCGCCGCCGCCATCACCCACCACTCACCGCCTCATTCCTGGTCCTGCCGCCGCCATCCAAGCCGCTATGCACCGAACCAATCGATTCGATTCGACTACTAATCGAAATCAGTCCCTTGAGATTTCCACTCAGGAGTACATTCGTAGGGTTCAACAAGATTCTGGGGAAGAATTTTCGCGTAATCCTTGGCTTTTTGCCCTAGATGTTCTTCGCACTCATGGTAGTTTCATTCTCCTTTTCATTTTAATGGTTTTCATTTTTTTTTATATTGGTTTAATTTTATTGATTTAGGGTTTATTGTTTTTTGCAAAATTAGGTGTGGTTGATATTACCCCTTTGAGTGCTATCAAAAACTGTGTGAATGCTGATAGATTTGATAAGGTATTGAACTTTATCTTTTAATCTGTACAAATATGCGGTGATTGGTTTGATTAGTTTGTGATTGGAATGAAGATTACTGTAGTAGGCTGCATAAATTTAGCCTGTTCGAGTGTTAAATGAACTTTCTTTTTAGTGATACGTAGAAAACAAGTGACTCTTTTGAGTTTTAATTTTAGTTTGATCGAATCGAAACATAAAACCAATCTACCAGAAATGGCAAAAATTCAGGGATGATATGGGTTGTTGTTTGTTATTTGTAACTCGCTATTCTTTTTCATGGAATGATGTATGCTATTGAAACAACTTGGTTGTTGTATACTCGATTACTTGGTTTTCAATCAGCTTCCGCCTGAATAAGAGGTAGACTAGTTAGAAACATCAAATTGAGCAATGAAAATAGGAATGCTAATTATAGTTGCTTATCCAATTGCCATGAGCTGATTTTTGCTCTTTTGGTCGCTTTTCACACAGCTGACTAGTTTATACCCTTTATTGCCATGGTTTGCTTTTATTTATAGGTTGTTGCAATTGTGAAATCTTGTGCTCCAAATGGTCTTGGTGATATGATGATTACCCTTAAGGTATACACACGATGTTTGTCCTCACTCCCTTGCAGATTGTATATGTCCTCGTCATTTTGGATATCTCATTTGTGTATATCTGAGTTACTTTGGAGTTTGGACATTTTTGTGTCTTTAATTGTTCATTGGAACTTGCCATGTAGGATCCAACTGGAACAATTAGTGCTAGTGTTCATGGGAAAGTCCTCAGCATAGGGGAGTTTGGGAGATTGATTACTGTTGGCTCAGTTTTGATACTCCAGAAGGTTTGTTCTTAATAAAACTGCTGAATTATTTTTTTTCTTTTTTTGTACTATTCACTAATTGATTATTTTAACAAATTGAATTGTTAACTAGTAACCAAGCCTTTTTATACTGTTATCTGAAATTTGGGAGATGTTTCCAGGTTGTTGCCTTTTCCTCTTCATGCACATCTTGCTACCTAAATATTACAAGAAGCAATATTGCTAAGGTATGCTCAAGTGATTGATTTTAAGAGTGCGGTATATTTTTAAACTGTTTGATACTTCGATGTAAACTTGTATTGATGATGCATCATAAGAGGCAAACAATTATATACAAAGTTTCTATTTGGAGGGGATTGATGAAAAGTTGAAGAGACCAAATGAGGAAAATAATTTCAAAGGGAATGGGTGTGAGAAACAGCTCAACGTAAACCAAAGATAATTCACACGGCTGTCTTGTTGAGATTTCATATAATAGTCTTAATTCAATTAAGCTTTAAGAGTAATCTGTTCTACCATTTTTAAGTTATAACAAGGTACTCTGGATGACTACAAGAGAATGAGAAATATAGTTTTCATGCCACAAAAATCGCGAATATATTATTTGTATTGTGCCAAACGAAAGTGAAAGTGACTTGTTTAAATAACAAGGACTTATGAAAATTAGAATAGTTCAGGAACAACGTTACATTGGTATATGATTAATGGCTCCTTATGAGTTTCATTGCACAATTTTAGTATTTCAACTCACTTTGAAGTTGTTGCTTGTTCTGCATGAAGGAAATAAATTGAACTATGAAATGTATTTGTAATGAAGTAATTGGGGCCACTGGAATCTTTGGCATCAGCCCACTGAACTACTTTTTCGTTTATTCTATTGCATCCATTTGAGTTTGTGAAGCATGTATGCAATTGTTCTTGTGACGGCATGTGAACTTGTGTTAATCTAAATATCTAATTTGCTTCTTTATATGGACTGGAATATATTCCAATATTTGTACCAACACAAATCTCAAGGCACTCCAATGTCTCACTGCAGGTGGTTTCTGTAGATTGTGAAGTCCATGATTTTACTGAAGGTAATCTAGACAATTATCCAGTTACCATTTATCGGTGTTTCCTCTTTCTGAAATATTTGTTTCTGTATAGACATCTAGGAGAACTATATCATACTGAAATCACCGTGATTTTGCTGTTCTAAGAGCTGCTAATATGTTCGTGTCTTATTAAAGCGCTCTTTGTTTCTTCTCACTGCTTTAATAAGCTATCTGTGAGGGTTTTTGTAAGAGACTTTTGGTAGCCATCCAGGAAATATTATTACAGTATGTGCAAGTGTATATGACCTAAAATATGATATTGTCTTTAGAATCTTTGATAATGAACTAAACTTTATGGGAAATATTGCTTTTTGAAATGTGATTTGAGGCTACTCATATTGGATGGGGCTTATGTTAAATTTTAATTGTTGTCTCTTTCCTGTCATCTGTCTATATTCTGGAGATTTCTTACAGCTAATGCTGGTTTGACCTATTAAGCCTTGAGGTAATGGGAGCAAGAAGATTATTCTTTCCTAACACAATTCACATATGATATGCTTAATAGCTGTGTGCTGCAGTTGTAGAATTGCCCTTAATCTTCATCAATATTTTTCTTTCCTTTCTTATATATATTTATAAAAATCTTCTTCCTTGAATTGCCAGATCTGCTCTTATGTTTTTCTATGGGCGTCTATCGTATGATTCCCTCACCATTAATAGCATCGTCATGTTTACTAATAGTTGAGTTTATATTTCTCTCCATTTGCCCAGTCATTTATCTATAACATTTGAAAATGGCTCTAGCTTCAAGTTATTGTACAAAAGGGGATATTTTTGCATTAATATTCATTTTGACACTATTACCCATGATCATTTTCAAATCTTACATCAAATCTACTTTTAGAAACTAGAGTGTGATTCAGGACAGGGTCCCCTTGTGCTTTTTTACCCTGATCTTATATACAATAAGACTTTGAGTTACCTTTCCTTGAGGTGCTATATATATAATTTTCTTAGGTCATTTTGTTTATAGTATACGGCAGAAACTTAGTGATACCGGAAAAGAATTCAACCCTGGTATCTAAAAGAACTGGAATAGTTGTCGGAGATGTGCAGCGGAAAGGAAAATCAGTAATTGTAGAGCTTACTGAAACGGAGAACTGTACGCAGCCTAGCAACCTCTGTGGCGACAGACAGGTTGAAAATGCAGCTGATAGAATTTTCAAGGAGCCCATTCGTGCTGATTCAGTTGATAATGTCCATAGTGCTATGGGGTGTTACAGTCAAAGGCAGGGAGGAAATTCATGCAGAACCGGCCAACCAGGTTCTGGCTCATTGGAAGGCATAGATAAGAACCTCCAGGACCTTGACAATAATGAAAATTGCAGGCAGGTTAGGGAATTGAGTTCTGCTCCTTGCATGATTGGGAACTTGGGTGATCAGAATGGGCAGGCAAATGTTGCTCAAGACAAAAGGCTGCTGCGAGGAAGTAACTGTAACATGAGCTCAACTGAGAAACCCAGCACTGTTGTGCATGCTCCTCTTGTCACAAGTTCAAGGCTGCCTAATAATGTTGATGATCTTGACGTATGTGATGTTAATAGTGTTCATAAGCAACAACAGCTCAGGGGTATCAGCTCTGCTCCAGGCATGGTTGAGAACCAAGCCAAGAGAAACATGTCTGAAATAATTGGTGGTCTAAAGTCAATGCAGCAGACAGAAACTGGGGCTAATTCAATAGTGGTTGAGAAACAAGATGATCAAGAGCCTATAGGATCAAATGGGGTAAAGAAGCAAAGGGTGGCATTGATATCTAGAGCTGCAGTCCAGGAATGGACGGATGAACAGCTATGTATACTTGACATGGATGATGACTGAATATGTTCTGTCATTTTCTGGTACGATAACAATTTGATGATCCCACAGGAGCTCTGAGGAGTGACAGCTTGTCTATGAAGTATGGACTTTCCTAGAACTTGAATCACCTGTACATGATTTTTAGTTTGTGTTCATGTATAGAAAGCAGGCTTTTCTTAGAACTTATATGAGATCTGAGCTTTTTTAGTTAGGATTTGTACAGTTCAAGTGTGAGTTTATCACTTAGTCTACAACTGGTTTCTACTAATACCACTTTTTGCACTAGTTGGACTGCATTAATACTTTCAGAATACTTTTCAAAGCACATTCCACATTATTTTATTGGTTTCAAACAATGGGGACTATGAGGAAAGTTATAGCAGATCTGCGGCGCACATGTTACCCGGCTTAAAGCTGCAGGCGATTTGTGTTGCTGGTCAGAAATGATGTCTGCCTTACTCATCTGAGTTCCACACTGCACATCTTACATTAGCTTTGCACTCTGTTGTGGAATCCATGTTATTAGCCTTTGTTGCCCAGGTTTTTGTAGTCATGTAGAATGGGATGCATCTTTGGACCAACGGATTTAATAGATCCAGGTCAAGAGCTGTCGGAAAATTTGCCCAATGGAATTCGTGTTCTGTGGTATCAAAAAGGTACAGTAAATGTTAACTGCAGAATACTTGTCAACTTGATGTTGATTAGTACCCATGTTTTAAAATTTTATAATTTTGTCTCTGTGCTGAGAGGCCTGTTTATTTATTTCATCATTTTGTTTTCTGATATGGTTAATAACATTGGCTATTGATAGATCCATTCATTATAACAAGTGCACCATGTATTTGAGACTGTCATCTGGAATGGGGCACATGGTTCATCTGGTTGACTGGCTAAAGAGACGTCCAGTTCTCTCAGAACCACACTTCAGTGCTTCAGATAATAATTGGGGACTAAATCAAATGAAGAAAATAATGGAAGACGAGGCTCCAATAAAGACTCCAAAAAAAAAAAAAAGGCTCCAATAAAGACAAATTTTGCACTTCATTACTTACAATCTGGCCATTCCAAGTAAACTATGGACTATGGAGTACTCCTTTTTTAATTTTTGAGTGGCTTTCATGAAAAAGAAAACAAAAATTATAACACACATACTATAACCAAAAAATAAATAAATAAAAAAAATAAAATCAAAAAGTTAGTTCGGGTTGTGTTCAATATAGGTTTACTAGATTAGGTCCTGTTTTGGGTGTTTTTGTCTCTTGGGAGAGTTACAACACGAAGACTGATCCGCAGTGAGATGTACCTGCAAAACAAACGGAGACACCGGTTGGGTGGTGCTCCGCCTCCGACGCACAAGTTAGTAACTTGAAACGGAATAGAGAGAACGGAAATTTAGGTGGGTATCTGCTCGGATTCCAAGCTCAGGTCTTTCTCTGATGTAAGAGAATAAGTGTGTAATAAATGATTCAATGTGTCCCCAAAATGGGGAAATATCTCCCTATTTATAGGGTCGTTGGAAAATGTGCCCCTACCTAGGTCACTTGACTTAGATTCTGGTGGGCTGCGCCGTTTTACGGCGCTCCTAGGAGTTTGGGCCTTTTGAAAGCCGCCAATTCAGAAACATATCTGAGGGCACCAAGTGTCAAGGGGATGTTGAGCCACATGGGCCATCCTGAGCTTGACACGTGGCGACCTCTCATTGGTCCACGTGTCTAGGGTAAAAATACCCTAAACATTTGCCCCTCACAGGTCGCACGTGCATGTCACGTGGGGCTTGTGACACGTGTCCACTTTTCATAGGTGAACAGTAACGGGTAAAATTTTGAATTTCAAATCAAAATTTTCCCCCCACTTTTACTTTCTATAAATAGAAAATTACCCCCCTCCTTTTCACACCTTACGTTCATATTGACTTTTTAGAGAGAGAAAAAGAGAGATTCTAGAGAGAGTTTTCTCTGCTCCCGCCTGCATAATCAGCGAGTTTCAAACTTTCGAGTGCAAAGCAGTACATTACCCGGTTCACCGGCTGTAGCGGTTTTCAGATTTTCCAGAGTCAAAGCAAGGTAACCGCCTGTACCATTTTAGCTTTTCTCCCCTTTAATTTACATACCATTTTTTCCGCCTGTATGCCCGGCTTTCTTTAGAAAATAGAAAATATAAATGAGTTCCCAATCCACCCACTCGGCACTGCCTAGGACACTCAGTCGATCCCCCGGAACGGCTGAGTCTAGAACATGGGGTGCCTCTTCTGGACTGTCGGAACCAATATGCTCATCTCCGAATTCCTTCCTCTCTGTGTCTGTGCAGGACATAATGGCCAGAACGAAACAAACGGCCAGGCGGTCTAAAAGTCGGCGCACCATGAGAGTGCCAGCCGATGAGGTTTTCCCAGAAGGGGATCCAAGGAATTGGGAGGAGAGCGGATCTGACGAGGAGGCTCCCTCTACCTCCAGGAGCTCTGGAGTGAGAGAAGTAGACGGCGAGGGAGCCGCCTCCTCCAATGAAGCCGGTGACACTGAGGCCGGCCAGGGATCAAGAGCGGAATCATCCGGCTCTGACTAGGGAGATTTTGCGGCTGACTATCAGCAGCCGCCCAAGGTAGCTGACAATCCCAACCCTAAAAGGACCCGGATGCTGCCGAGTAACATTTCCCTTCTTAATAACGGGTTCAGGGCCTTTAAAGAGAAACATCCCTTTGGAAGGGGTTGGGAAATTATTGTCCCTCCGGCTGATGCTGTGATGGCTTGGGGGGACGACATTGACCATGCAGATGACTACTTCATCTGCTATGAGGCGGTAATAGAAGCCGGCCTCCGGTTCCCCCTCCACACCGGGATTAGGAAAATCCTTAAGGGGTATGATCTGGGGGTTTGGCAGCTCACCCCTAACTCGTGGGTGAACATATTAAGTTACATCGCCGCCTGCGAGTTCCAAAACTTGAACCCCAGTTTCTCTGCCTTCGCTCACATGCACTACTTGAGCAAGGCTCCAGGCGGCCATGGGGCATGGTATACGCTGACTACCCTGCCCCAATATCTAATGACTTTGGACAAAGTGTCCAAGTGGTCCGGGTGGAAGGACAAGTTCTATTTAATTTCCTCTCCAACCCTAAGACACAACCGGACCTTGCGCCGGTACAATACTGAGCCGACTCTTCTTGGACATAAATGCCCTCTCCCGGCACTATCTACTAAAGCCCGGGAGCAAATCATGGAGCCGGGATTTTTTGAGACAACAACTGAGCCCATGGGGGATAGGACTCACATCATAGTTCCCAAGAAATAGATCCCCCATCCGGACTTCTTCAAAGATGAGTGCTTCTTGTCCGCCTGCGGACTGAGTATGATGTTTCCCAGGGGTAGAATACTTCTCATCCGGAATGATTGTCATTTTATTTTTATTGCAAACTTGCCTTAATTCTTTCTAACTTTAAATTTCTTGTTTTTGCAGAAGAAGCCCTGAGGATGGTTGACCAGGATAAGACTCCTGCTAAGTCTGCGGCGCAACTGCGCAAGGAGGCGACCCTTGTCAAAAAGGCAGCCGTCGAGGCTAAAGATACGAAGAAAGGCGGGGTAAGACCGCCTGACTTTATGTTTGCATTTTATTTTTTATTTTTTTTATATATATACCGGTTGGGTATACTTATATTTTGCTTCTTTCTCAGGAGTTCGCCAAGAGAATCCCTCGATCATTCTCCAAGCTTCTCAAAAGGCAGGGAGATGATCTGGAGAAGGCTCTGGTTGCCAAAGCCGCAAGGAAGGATCCCCCCTAGAAGAAAAGTTCTGCCCAATCCGGTCGTCTAACGACTGGGGGCAAATCCCCTGCTGTTCTGAAGAAACTGAGTGAAAGCTCAGAACAGCAAAAAGCGCCGGAAGCCTCTACGGCTTCGAAGGGTGGCGAGACACCTAAGGTTGCAGGCGGTGCGGCAACTACTGGGGAGGAGAACAAGCCGGAGACCCATCCGGAAATTCACGGTAAGGAACAAACTGAAATACCTTGGCCACTTGATTTTATGAGAATCAAGACCAAGGTTGATTCTTCAAAAGGGTCAGTCAGCAGCCGGCAACGAATGAATGCCAGCTACGCTGCTCTATCTCACAAAGAACTACTTTTGATGCAGATTTGACTACTAACCCGCCGGATCTTGAAGGCTTCGCAAAGCGGATGGTGAGGACCCTCACCCGGTCTGAGAAAGCCTCCATACCTGATCTGCAGGTCGTGGACTTTGACCAGATAATGGGTTCTCTGGCTGAGGTAAAAAATCCCTTTACCCTGATATCTTTTATCTTTAACTTGGCCAAGTAACTCACAAACCGGCTGTCATTGTCTCAGGCTATGGTGAGAGTGGACAGTCTCCGGGGCCCCTTCAGGCAGAAACAGGAAGAGGTAAACGACGCCAAACGGAAGGCCCTAGAAAACCTCAAATTTGCTGAACATTCTGATTATATGTGTAATTTAAAAATTAAAGCAGTAGAGTTGAAACAGGAGGAGCTGATCCGGAGTTTGACGGCTGCAAACGATGAAGCTAACAGCCGGGCTGATGACCTTGATAAGCAGCTGAAAGATGCCAAATCTGATCTCAAGGCATTAGAAGATGCTGACAAGGAGAATTCCCAACTCCGGATTGACAATGACCGCCTGAAGCTTGAGCTCATGACCCTGCGCAACAAGCAGTCAGATGAGCTGGCCCAGGAGCAGACCCGGCTGACCGAGGAGAATGAACGGGACAACTTGGCCCGGCTGAAGATCATCTGGGGCCTCCTCTACCCAGAAATAGACTTTGAGGTCTATAAGCTGAGGTATGATTACGCCACTAAGGTGTATGATGCCCAGCAACTGGGTGATGCTCCTCCGCCTCGCTTCCAAGACTGGGCTGCTGAGCAGGGATATGAAGTCTCTGATGATGAGGAGCCGACGGATGATCATCAAGAGGGCCAAGCCAGCCAAACTCAGCCGGAGAAGACTCCGCCTCAGCCTTAGGCGAGCCTCCCACCTTTCTGCGGCAGTATGCCAATCAATGTTATTTACCGGCTTGCATGCCGTGTTTTGTTGTATCTTTTTACCAACTATGAGGTTGGGTTAACATTTTTACTTTCTTTCTTCACCGGATGTGTCCGGCTAACAATTATTCTGGCCTTTGTGCCATTTCAAATATAAATGAAGTATTCCGACTTAGTCGGATTTTATATATGTCTGTTTTGAGTTTTTTCAATTTGAATTTTTCATGTGTATGCAATCCTTTAGTATTTTTCCCAACTTAAAAAAGCATGCGACAATTTGCAATTCGGGTGCTCTTGCCCTAGGGCGGCTGTGTGGTTGGTTTTATGTCAAGCTGATTGATTGGCTTGAAAACACTTGATACTTGGAGAAGTATGGAGTGTTTTTAGGCCAATCAATCACAATGGTGATTGCCCCAAACCAAGTGCACAGCCGGCCATAAAAGCAGGTGCTTTGAGCTTCTTACCCAGGCGGTTATATTCCGTCTGGGGTTAACGTGTAGCCATTACCCAATCCTTTGCCCCAATAGGGGAAGTGAGTGTAACTTTGGAATAAATAACCCAAGTAAGAATTTCTATCAATGACCGACTGATGCCTGTGGGCATCCGGTATCTGGAAACTTATTCGTTCTTCATAGGTTATTTTGGTCAGACGGCTATGAGTTGGCCAACTTGGTCGTTCAATTTTTGTCGTCTCCATGGGTACGTAGAACCGAAAAATGGTCTGTTCTCTGCGACGATTGCACCCGGAGATGTGTCGCCAGACGCTTTTGTTCATGCTGGGACAGGCGATTTTATAAAATGAGCAACCATCCGGCTATTTTAGCCTCTGGTCTTGTTTGGGACCGGTTATATAGCCACTAAACGTTTTTGTGCTTAGTTTTTAGTATTGAATTTACACTAAGTATCAAACTTAGTTTTTTTAAACAAGCGGGTCAGTCTGGGTATTACCCAAGCAGATAATCAAGCAGTTTAATAAACAAAGTATCAAACTTAAATAAACAAGGGATTCGAGTAGTACCCAGGCGGTCCAACGAATATAACCTTTACTAAGTGTCAAACTTAGTTAGGTAAAGAAGAATCCGCCTGGGTATTACCCGGATGGATAATTAAACAATAACTCGATTTTGCAAACAAAGTCTGAATCTTCATTAATTGACTCACTGTTTACAAAAATTTTACAATCTTAGAAGTAGTACTTTTTCAGGTTGTCTACATTCCAAGTTCTAGGCAGACGCCTGCCGTCTGGGGTTTCCAGGCGGTAGGTGCCATCCCTTACTTCTTCA